CTTGTTTACCTTCAAGCTTTTAAGACCCCAGACGCTATATCTTTTGATAGCCGGGCACCAGGGTTGATCATCTTTTAAAACGTTGGGCGTAGGGGAATGTGTGAATGCTTGGAAAAGCTGTTCTCTGGCTCTCACCGGGTTTGCAGTTCTAGTTCAAGGCTAAGCATCGGCTTCTGAGGCTCTGCCTAGAGCCACCTGTGCAAATTCACCTCTGCTCCCAGGGTCTGATGCTGCCCCTCTCCCCTTACGGATTGAGGCACGTTTGCGGCATCTCCTGGTTGGCTTGCAGCTGCGGTAAGCATGCTTGCATTTGTGCCTACGTCGCTGAATGCAGCATTGTTGCTGGGCCTCTGTCACAAGCTTTCCCCGGCCTCTCTCCAGTGCCATACTGGAGCCTTACCCTGCTTTCTGCCTCTCACAGCTCCTGTGCTTGGTGACACAGGTAAGAGGTGTATGCCCAAGGCAGGATCACAGATATTCTCTCTGTATAGATTGTCTAAAAATTCTGCCCCTTTATGTTTTGGACTCTATCCTGAGTTAATGTTTGCAACTGACATAAAGTATGAAGACTCCCCCAAAACCCACTGCCATCAAGTCAAATCCAACTCAGAGTGCCGTAATGTAGTGTCTGAAGCTAGATATCTGTACAGGAGCAGGCAGCCTCTTTCCCCTGCAGGGACTGCTGGCTCTAACCACTGCTCTTACCACCGTCCAGTACTCTCTTGCATGGCCATCCAGTTGCTCAGAAGTCTGTCTTTTCCCAGGTGAATTACCTTTGTACCTTGGCAGAAAGCCAGCTGAGTATGTGGGTGTGAATCTACTCAGGATCCTGCTTCTGCTCCAACCACAATGAGTCTGTCTGGCCGTCGTCAGCACCACATTTCTGCAGCAAGTCTGGAAACCAGTGTAGAGGAAGACCTCCCTCCCTGCCCCCCACCCTTGTTGCTGTGGCTGCTGAAGGGCTTCGTCCATCCCTTTCTGTGAGGGTTTGCTTGGGGCATGTGGACCTGCAGCCGGTTGGGGGAGAATCTGTGCGTGCCGAGTCGCTCACCCGGCCCCTTCGCTTCTGGGAGCTGCGTGCCCACGTCAGCCTCTGCTGTGCAGGCTTGCACTTCTCTGGCCAGATTTATCCCAACTGGTAACCAGGAATTCGATGGTAAGCAGTAAATCTGCGGTGCGTGTCCACAAATGCAGTGATTCCGTGTCTTCATCTTGAACCCTGCAAGCTTACTAAGCTCACTCCGTGGTTTTAGTCGTGTTTTAAATAGAGTACACTCGGTCCTCCACATAATCTCGTGTGCTCAAATGCCCGCTTTTACACTTCCTTTCTCGCTGAATGCCTGCTGTGGTTCTGCCCTGCCCTAGAGCAGTGCTGACCAGGCAAAATGTTCCTTCTCTTTACTGGTCACTAGGCTTGTGGGCCTCTCGCAGCAAGGGGCCCAGAGCTGCTGTGCTGCTACCACTGGGTGTGGCCCTAGGTCTTGTCAAATGCTCTCCTGTAGCTCGTGAGAGGGCTGTCTGGGTTTTTCTCTGATAGCCATAAACAGAGTCTGACTTGACTGCTTTGCTAAGGCTACGTGAATCCGTATCCCGAGGGTGAGCCCCACCCGGGCGGATGCCGTTCCCTGGGACGAGTCCTCAGACGTGCTTTGGTAAGCATTTTGCTCATGAGGGCAGTGGTCTTGTGGTCTGTAAATGCTGGGTCTGACTCGCCGTCAGCACAACATGAGCTCAGCGTGGGTTGGGGGTTTTCCAGGAGAGATGCTGCAGGCGCTGTAGTGGAAGGTCTTCCTGAGTGCTTCATACACTTCACTAGCAAAACTCCGGACTCCTCTCTGTGGAAAGGTTTTTGCGTACACATCATTTTTCGAATAGAGTAAAGGCGTTACTGTTTGCTTCTTTAGTAGACTGGAGTGGCCGGCGTCATTCCTGCACGGAATCTGTGGTGCATGGTATTCTGTAGCATCTGTAGTGATGTCACCTGCTGGCTCCTGATGCACCCTGAGGGTCTGCGGTCGGCCCCCGCCCCCACCAGGTCTGCCATCTTTATGGCACGCGTCCCGGCGGCTCTGGGCTCCGTTGCTGCCTCCTGGCCTTTCTCAGTTCTCGCTCTGACGGCCACTTTCCCACAGCCTTCCTCCCTCGCCTCTGGTGGTGGACGGACTC